AGTATAACTTTGATGGGCTAAGCCTATAATTATCGATTGTCCGACATGTCCATCGATTTGTCGTCGGTTTAAGAACCGGTTTTGTAAACACCAGAACTACCAACACAAATCTTAAAAATAACGAACGATTGAGAATATGAAGTTCCCTTCAGAGTAGACGATTGATCGACAATTCAATGCCAAGCATGGGATTCCGTGTCTCTAAACTCGAGATATGCCAAAGCTCTGAAGATGGCATTCTACTCAGTAGCAATAAGATCCGTTGTAGAGTAAGAAAAAAATTGTTTTGACAGCGAGTCTCTTCGAATACTCCATAAAGGCAGTGACAAGATCCGGTCAAGTCCTTGCGAGAGTGATGGCTGACACAGTGGACCGATCAGGCATACGAGGCATGAGCCCTATAAGATTTGAGTCAAATAGCAATTGAGCCATGACTCGTCCAACAAAATGGGTCGACCCATCATTTGACCGCCCAACCAAAGGATAGGTCCCGCAGAACCAATCGACCAGACGTCGAAAAGGCTGACCTTATTTACATCAGTCGATTACCCCTCTTAGCAGAGACAGATTTCGACCGGTCGATTGACACAATCAATCGCTCGCTCGTCGACAACATTCAAACTCATGAGTCAATAGAAATCGTTGTTTTTTTGTCAACAGTATGACGACCATTAATTCAAATTATACACATTGATTTTATTTAGAGGCAGCTGTCATAACAGTTTCAACCTCTTTTAATTGTTCTAATTGGATCCCTTTAAATAGGTGGTCCCAAGAGGAATAAAGACAAGCTCTCTCCTCTTTTTCCGAGGATGGCAATTTTCATGTGTTCTCACTCTCTCTCCCTCTCTCTCGCCTCTTTCAATTCCCACTCTCAGGGCTTGCTCACAAAAAGACTTATTAGGATCCAACATCTTGAAAGGTGGTGCGATAAACGTGGAACATGCCACAAATAAGAAAAAGAAATGACTGCAAAAAAAATACTTTAGGTAGAAAAATGGTACGCATGGAGCCCCACATAGATGTTGCACAATCGGACATCGACACTCAGGTCCAGAGCCTACAAACCCAAATGAACCTCATGATGGAGCAATTTGAGGCCTTCTGGGCAACAATCACCCAGATCATACGCCTCGCCTTGAAGTGGAGCCTCAAGAGGTCTGTCCCAAAAGGGCCTTAGCGAAAAACTCTATTAGCGTCGATTTTTATCTCACAAGTACCAAACACCCCTGTGATGTTATGAGAGAACGGGGCGCTCACGCGTACCTTCTTGTAGCTCAAGGAGTCCGTCGGGCCATTGCTAAATGCACTATGCCTCAGGACTAGGGTTTACCCCATCTTAATCGTGCACAATAACAACTAACACTGATTCGTGACAGTTCACCCATTCTAGAGCAAGTCGAACAATCATTAGGAGGCTTTTATTGTCTGATTTAGTCATCGAGAGCTTTTCATGCCATTAAGCGCGACAGACAGACTTCCAGAGCATGAAATGACCCTTAAGGATATGGCACGACCACACCCAAATCGGGTGTAGCCATGCCTAAAACCTCTCTATAAGGGTTGAGGAAGCCGCTTTCGGCGTGGCCAACCCCGACGACAACGTGACCACGCCGCCAGACAGATCCAACAACATAATGACGTCGTAGGACGACATGACCATGTTGGGCCTTCCCTCAGTTACGCGAAAGCCACGTCGGCGTGGTTACACTCGAAGGTGGAGTGACCACGCCGCAAAACAGTGAGACTGACGTAATTATGGTAGGAAGTTGTTGTGACCACTTTGACTGCATGGATAGAGTGGCATGACTACGTCCAAGCCTGGCGTGACCACCCTGACCTGCCCATATTTCAGAATTTGGCCTGACGGCCTGACCATATTTCATGACTCAACACAATGATGTCCGTCCTTGTACCCTCGATAGTTTGGTTGTTGTAATATCGCGTGCATCAGGTGAAGCACTTGGACCTCCTTAGGCATAATGTTGGCATCATTTTCTTATGTCAAAGGCATAGGATGTCCGCTTAAACGACCTTAAGATATATTGCACAAGTATAAAACTCCCCAAGCCTCAAAATATATGTCTTTGATCCTCTGGAACATGACCAATATTGTTTTGCTAGACTATTGTTGCTGGTGAGGTAAGGGTCGACCGATGTTACTTTGATGAGACAACATTGTCTAGACGAGTTTTGTTCGGCGCAACTCAAATAAATCAATCCTTGAATTGGCTTACTAGTGAGGAATTATCCTTTAGATGACTTCTTATGGTGGAATAAACAGTGCAGATGCGTTTGAAACATCATTTTCACTTAGGGAGGGCCTTTTAGTTATTGCCACGCGAGTTAAATCATCAAAAACATGAAATAACCCCCCAAATGGGCAAGGCGTGACCACACTCACAAGGGCGTGACCACTGACCATGCATAGGCATGGCCACGTTCACATGGGGGCGTAACCACTCCCCGGAGTGACCACACAATGCTCTTCAACCATTTTTTTATTTTTGATTCAGCTCATTGCTCGGTCCTTTGTTTTTCCATTCAGACACCGACCAACCACTAGGATAAGTTGTTAGACCGATCCTAAGCCAAAAATGGCTTCTGAGCTAATCTGGGTGCTTGCCAAAAGAGGCAAGTTGTCATTTGAACCTTAATATCTTTTTGAGATCTGGGGAGATATCACACTTATTTCATCTGGGGAGAGCTAAGGGATAGTTTTGAACAGTTCTTGGAGAGCTTCTTCACCATTCTTCTTTCTTTTCTCCGTTTTGTTCTTCTTCATTCTCTTACATTTGCTTTCTCGGTCACCGTCCTAGTCCAAGAAATTAAGGGGAGAGACAGAGAACTCGAGGAACGATCACATGAGTGCTTGGAGAATTTTAAAAAGTTAGCTTCTCCATTGTTCTTCTTATTTCTCCTCTTCTCCATTTTCCTTCCTTCTTCTTCCTCTCACATTTTATTTCTTGGTCGCGTCTTGGTCCGAGAAATAGAGAGAAAGAGCGAAGCGTGGTGTTGCGCTGGCGCAGGAAAACTCCCTGCGAAGAGAGCTTCATTACCCGAGGGGAGCGAAGGTCGATACTTGGAGTGTTGCTGGAATCTCTTCGTGATGAAGAAAGCTCTTCCTGAGCAATGACTGGAGTTCGATCTAGTACGACAACAATATAACCTCCTTAACTCTTACATTTTCTTTCTTAGCCAGCCATAGAATTAGATTTTGTTAGGTGTTGTGATTTTGGCCGCCCACACAAGGCGAGTCTGACCTGCCACCCGATATCATTTGACTTAATCGATCGCTCGTTATCGGACGATCTGATTTGCCGAAGGGTCGGCCCGACCATACACCTTTTGATTGGTCATTTTTTTGGTGTCGACGTGGGTTTGACATATGACAAAATTTGTCAATCAATAGGCAAGTTTGTTGATCGACACTAGTCCGCATTGTCATATGCCTATTGAATTGACAAATTTTGTCTTAAAGAAAGCCCTAGATTAGGACTTTACATTTGCAGCCAACTTCCTTGCGAAACCATGAGTATTTCCTCGCGTGCCTTAGCCCCAACATGAGCGGGTCAGAATCCTAATTTCCCACATCTGTAGCGGTATTCGATCTTTTTGTGGAGGGATTGAAACATTGCACTTACAAAACGAGAAAAGCTTTGTAGCTAGTCCATGTTGCAAGAGGGGTAAAACATTCCTCCGAGCAATCGAGAAGAAAAATCCCCCGCACTTGATTGCCACATTCGGAGGCAGCTATGTCGCATATCCACACGTGAAAAACCTAGGTACCTATGCGAGTTCGATATGACGAGTTTGGCGTGTCATCGAAGTATTTTTGTAAATAGAAACTATTAATTTGTTAAATATAAATAATTTTATAAATTTGATCGCAACTATTAGTTTGTTAAATATAAACTCTAAATCCTACAATATCTCAAATCTAGTTGCTCATCCATTTTGCCTTAAATCCTTCAGGTGGGGGCTATTTAGTAAAATGATTTGTGTAACATTTAAACATTATTTAATATAAATCTTACCAAAACACTAAAAATGACAATTTCAAAATATACATAAATTTAATATCGAATATTTATATATTATATATAATACTAGCTATCTTCAAGCTATCAACAAATGTGTTAATATTCTAGTTAATTATTATTTTTAAATAATATATCATAGATGTTACGAGCTATCATTGAGAGTGATATGAAATATTTAACAAACTATATATTGAACATCAAACGGTTTATTTGTACATATAAACTAGTCAAACAAACATAAAATAAAAGTAAAGATTTAACTCAAGTAAAGTGTATTAAAAATAAAGAAAATTAGGAATTATTGTCATATTATTAAATGGGGGCAACTAAAAGACAAAAAAAAAATATTTTTATGAGTAAATTCCAAGATTTTAAGAATTTAGATGTTCATGAAAAAATAAATTTTATGTGAGATAAAATAACAAATATAATTAAATAAGTGACAAAAGTTATATTTAGAGAATCAAAAGAAAAAGTTTCTATAAATAAAAATAATTTGTGGTGAAATAATAATGTCCAAAAAAATATAAAATATAAAAATTTATGTTATAAAACTTAATTTAAATGTAAAAACATAGAGAACACAGAAAGTATAAAATGACCCGTAGGGAGTAAGATGACAATATGTGATACTAAAAAGTATGCTTGTAGTGTTCTTCATAATATATTAGATGCTAAAGAGTAACAGGAATGTACAAATCCATCTTGAGTTCATTTAAGGTTAGAGCTTTCAAGATTTATTCAAGCTTGTTTATTTACTAATTTGAATGAACATGATTAAGTCTTACTCAATCGAGTTATTTATGGAGTGCATTGATTCATTTAGAGCCCTAACAGCAAGTAAGAAATAAGATTATAGTATAATTCAGTCAGAATGTCTTCAATCCCAAATTTTCGTAGATTTACAAAACTTTTACATTTTTGCATTGAATTTCATAAATCTGATAATACATCATATTCAAAATTGCAAACCAAGAAATTCACTAATCAATCTGGTAAGGGTTTACAATTCCTTGCATTCTTTCGTGCAATTTTTTGGAGGGATAACGAGTCGCGTTGCCAGAGTTTCCAAATGGCGAATTCGGCCACCGGTAGATTCCTTCACATTTATCAGGGAATTGAATCCCATTTCTTTCCGGTCGCAGTACTGTAAGTAATCTCTATTCCAGTTCTCCCATGTATTTCGTCTTCTAAGCTTCAGTTTTTACTTGCGCTGGAGGAGTAATCTGCCGATTTCTTTCTGTTAAATTTGACTGTTCATGCTTGAAGATCTAGGGCAAAGAAGAGCTATGGTTCTTCAGGCCCTGTTAGGTATATTCCAGGACGCTTTGCCCAAATAGAAAATACCCAGAGCTGCAAATCTTTGCAGGGTTCTGCGAACAAGGAAGAGCCTATATCTGGAAACCCTACTTCTGGATTGGCGAATTTTGATGGCAGACGGCTTCCAAATAGTCTTTTTCATGACGAAACGTGTGAGTTCCCGCAACAAATTCTCATGCATTTACATTAATTTTTCCTCAAAAGAAAAAAAGAAAAGAAAAGATTCATTTAGTTGCAAGTAGAGATGAAAATGTAATATGGACTGTATTTACTGATTTATAACGTTTTCAGTATTATTATCATGCTGAATATCAGGCTAAATCACCAGCGAAGTTCAGAAGGTAACAATTTCTTTCAGTGCAACATAATACATAGTAAATTTTAGTGAGTTCGTGATACACTTTATTTTTCTGTCAAACTATGTTAAGTCTGCATGCATTTGTCGTGTGAGTTATTCCAGATTTTTTAGTATAATTTTGCATTACTTTATCATAGTCTGAATCAAACAAATTACGTGCTGAACCTTGCAAAGTTTCTGGCATGCAAAAGACATTTTTTTCTGGTGTATTATTTCATGAATTGCTTGATTTATGCTCATGTATTTGGCTTCTTATACATAGGAGGCTTATGTACTTTTTGCAATAACCACCTTATAGAAAAAGATTTAGCATCCATGTACTAGATATTATATATCATCATAGGAGGAACTCTAGATTCCTCTTTGGAGGCATGCTTTACAATATTGCCATTTCAGTCTCTTAGGATTGTGAGAATTTTAGTGCTCTATCTTTAATAGATTGGAATCTCCTTTTTAAGCACAATTAATGTTCCTAATTAAAATTTTCTCTAAATTGTGCTAGAGATGGGTTTAATCACAAGGAATTGTGCACACAAGAAATATGGATTCCGCATGATTAAATAAACGTTTGTGAACTAACCTTCTAGCCAACAAAAAGTTTTGGGATCTTAAACCAATTTGACTTCAAACAAGCGGAGGGAAAGTAAAGTTTATGAGCCTTTCATTAATGCCACCTGTCGGCCGTTTTATTGTTCAACTTGACTTTCGTAGTTTGGAAACGGTGATGATTTTTGTGATTTTGAAAATAATTTAAATATAAATCTAACATTTTTAAAGAAGTAACGTTTTTTTTAATTTTTAAAATAAGTGAGACCAAACGAGTCTCACATTTTAAATAGCTTAGATGATTTAACACAATACTACAAGCAATACACTTATCCCGAAGAATAAATATATTACTTTGTGATAGGGATTCAATCATCTAGACTAAACAATTTGTGACATCCGTTTGGTCTGCGAAATATTTTTATAAAAAGGCCAACAAGTTCCCCTATCTAACATAAAGATTAGATAGGGTTTATTTTATCTGGGTTCCTGGTTCCCTATAGAGGCAAGCCCTATAGTTAATTATATCTTAAATGATCGAAATCACTTAAGAAAACTCTCGATTAAGATCAGGTGGTTTTGCTTTCAAGATTTCAAAGTTTAGGTTTTCACGATTGGACGTAAGAAAGTCAAATGGGAATGGCTCAAAATAGGAACAATTATTTTAGGAATTCAAATAAAAGAAAAGTAGGGGATATCACAGATCTAGGAAAACCCCCGGTGACCTCCCAACTATCCTATTGTTCGGCTTTATATCTTTGAAATGATGTTTATTTGATATTTCAATCCTGCAAATTATTTAAGATTTAGGACTTATGTTTGCACAACGTCAGACTGTGCAA